TACTTTGAAGTTATTTATGAAATCTCCAACATTTTTACATCCCAAGACATAGTCTTTCATTTCATGAGTAATTTGGTTGTTTTCTATAAAGTTAGTTTATTTCTGTGTTTTGAAATATCTGTGGTAGCTATTCCTGAGTAGAGGTTTTATTGTTATTTGTTTTCTTTCCTCGTCCCCACCCATCTTTGTCTGAAAGTTCAGAGAAGTGTCAAGTCTTTTGGGTTTTCAGTACCAAGCTATGTCTTATATTGCAAATTGGGGCTTCATTATGAGAGGATATTCTAGAACCCATCTTTGAGCCAACATGCAGCAAATTGCTCAACATAAGAGTCCCTTTCGTATCTCTAGAGTATATTAATAACATATAACTCATAGGATTGTTGTGAAGATTCTATTTGTTATGATATATAAAGAACTTAGAACAATGCCTGCACATAAGAATCACTATATAAGCATTTTTTTATTGTTAGCATCATAATCATCATTGTCACAATCACTGGTATATTTCTGGCATATATCAGATGCTTCACAAATGGGTTCTGTGGTTATTGTTACAATTTTTTGTACTTCTGGTGTCTTTCTCACTTTCAGGCCACATCACAGTGCCTTTATAATTCCTATTACAACATACTTCCTCTCTTCCTTTGTGAATCTTTCCCAATGAGGCAGATTAGGTATTTTTAAAGGGCTCATCTCAGAGCACTATTCCCTTCTCTTCTGTAAGAGAATCCCTGACTCCAGGAATGGGACAATATTCTTGACTCTACTGAATCAAAACTTCCTTACCTTCTGAGCCAGCATAAGTCAGGATCCATGGATCAGTTGGTGGAAGAAGCCAATGATGGTAGTTAGAGATGGGTTTTTGGTTGGCTTCATGTACCTTAAAGTAATGACTGAGTGCCAATTTCATAATTAGAACTCAAAATACATTTTCACCAAGGTAATTAGGAATCAGAAGCTCAAAAGTTAAGAATCAAATATGTGACCTTACTAATAATGCCAGGCTGAGAAAACAAGGTACTGTTTCTGGAGAACAGTAAGGGTAAGAAGATGCTAAGCCTAACTTTGTGGGACTTAGTCTTCTGGAGTTCACATTAAATGCTTCCACCAGTCTATGCCTTCATTTCCTCATGAATAAAATGGAAATGGTAATAATATCGTTATTTTGAGTTAAAATATATAAAGAATTTGGTAAATTGGCCAATATAAGGTAAATACTCAATTGATATTGACTATTATATTAACATGGATCTTGGACCAAAGAAGGGCCTTGAGAAAAATATATGGTTGGAAGAGGAATTCCAGGGACAATGGTTTTATTGACAAGAAAGATAACCTGTCATATTAATTTAATTGTGAGTAAGACTGTGAAGTCTTAAGATGAGAGCATAAGATGAGAAGCTGGCTGAGCACAGTACTGCTTTCTGATTATAGTGTATGATACAGATCTACCCCAGTCACAGAGAAGTTAGGGGGAACATTAACAGGTGCTGCTCACATCTGGTCAGTCTCTGGAATTTTTGTCTTCATCCCCAACTTTCTTTTCCTGGCAATGGCTCTCAAAGACTAAAGTTGGAAACCTCTTGTGTGTTGAGGCAGTGTTTCTTCTTCTTAAGTCATAAAAATAATCATGGCCAGATTATACCAGATGGTGTGAGAAAAAGAGGAACCATTGAAATCAGTGGCAAATGGGGAGATTGAAGAAAATACAGCCAGGGGAGTCCCTGCACAGTTCTTTGGAGGTCGAATCACACAACTCTTTCCCTTGGTTACAATGTCATTGGGGGCAAACAGCATTTTGCCTATTCTTTAAATTTATGGCATAGGGAAATTTGTCAAATATTTATAAATACCAATTTTCTATGCAGCTGAAATGCTTTTATAGAAAATATCTGATAAGCTGTAAATTTTAATATATAATTTGCATATCTCCAATGGCAAGTTGAATTATCTTTGGGCTTTATATTTTTGGCACTTATAAAGTTTTCAATATCAGAATTAAATTTGGCTTGTTCAACGGTTTGCTTTCCAGTTGGAAGGCATTAAGGGAGGAGATCATGTATAAATCAGTATGACAACATTATATGTGAAGAAGTATCATGAAGAATGCTTGTAAAAGTTAGGTTTAAATAATTCCCTAATTTGTAGCTAATTTTAAGGTTTCCAAGGCCAAGATGCTAAAGATATCAAGTACTTTATATGATACAAGTCCAACATCCATACTTAAATGTAAGTATGCTTGTAGCTTAGGACCAAATGTAAATACTTTTGGATTGATCGCTCAACCAGAGTTGACCAACCTTTGCAAACTTTCATGCAATTGATAATCTATTGAAATTAAGTATCCTTTCTCTAAATACTTGGAATCCCAGATTGTGTTTTTGAAATTCATTAAGTCAAATGGACTTGATAGTCAAATGGACTTGAAAATAGCAGTAATAGCCACCAAAGTTTAATGCTGAAAAATTGGAGTTAATGTTTCTTATTCAGGAGAGAGAACCAAAACAATTTCCTTTGGCAGATTTTGCTTTAGCTTGTCAACTGGAGAACCTGATGTCTTTGCCAAAGAAATATGCAAATATGTGTTTGATTAAATAAGATGAAAACTTTATTGCTGAGATATGGCTTTTCTTTCCATTTCTAACTTCATTCATTTCATGCTCACTGAACCAAGCCTAACTAAGACTCCATGACTTTCAATAGGACAGTAATCCTCTGCTTCTAAAAGAAACTTCTAGTGCTGTGAGCTCCCTATAAGTTCAAGGTAGTGTGGATGAGTGAATCTTCTGTCATTCCCTGATATGTGTGTGGGGCTTTTGGAGGTCAGATTTGGGCATGGGTCTATGCAGAAGGAGATTCTTCATGACAAACAACAACAAAAAGTCTCATCCTGTCAAAACTGCATGTGCCACTGCTTTATCACCATGATTACACCGAGGTTTTATTTCAGAGTGTTCTGGATTTTAAATTGAAAGTCAAATATAATTTGCCACGAGAAGTATGAAGTGAGTGACTAGAAAGCTGCTAGCAAGGCCCAGCATGACAAATCAGTGTCTATGATAACGAGCCTCTGCAGGAGGTGGGTCACTGTGCTGCAGTTGAGTGGTAGAAGTAGGCTGGAAGGCTCTGGGTTAATGCAAAGGCCACATATTCTAGATTGGTTCAACTGGTGTGACGGCCAAAACCAGGCAGACACCATTCACTTCTTTCATTGCTCAGGAATAGCAGCAGTATTTTAACTCCTATGATTCTGTGCAAACTTTGAGCAAATATAATGCAGTATCTACTAGTGCAGCTGAACAGAAAGTCTGCCTGGAGAAATAGCACTGGAGGGATATGAAGTAATATTTACTGAGTGCTAGACTTGTGCCTGGAATTGTGATTCGTACTTTACATATATTCTCTTGTTTAATGCTCACAAATTTTATTATTTACATTTTGCAAATCAAGAAACTGAAACTTTGAGGAACTGAGTGACTCACAGAAGGTCACACATTTAGAGCAATGTAAGGAAAATTAACCTTCACTAAGCCTCTACTACATGACTCCATGTTGTCTTCTTTGCCTGGTGTGCACATATATGATCTCTCGGGTTAGTTTTTACCACAGCCCTTGGAAGTCGGTGTTAGGATCATGTTTTATAGAGGAAGCAACTGAGTCTCACAGATGATAAACTAACCCAAGCTGAAAGAAGCCAGTCAGTCCCAGAATTAACTTTTTAATCCAACTCTGCCTGAAAGCAAACCCATGGTCCTAATCTCATCTCATGTTCAGGAAGGTGACTTCATAAGCTGAAGGATGAACTAATTTTCAGAGACAGACCTCTGCTTTCGAGGGTGTCCTGGGAATATCTATTTTCCCTCAGAAAATAACTCACTGTTAGACTTTTTCTAGTCTTTTCTTTAGGATTACCTCACCTGTATCAGGCTTTGACAGTATGCTTAACATGATCCTAATACAGTAATAAGACATGTTACAAAAACCAACTCTATTATATTTCCCTTCAGGTCACCAGGGAAGGCAGGCTGAGGCACTGTTTCTCTAATTTTTGCACACTTCCTGACCACCTTCAATTCTTTCTGGCTACTCACAAATTTAGATAGCTTGTATGCACACCGTTCATCTACTTGAGGGTCGAAAAGGATTTGCAGCTACATGTCCCAATGTTGAAGAGATGGAGTGCGTAGTTACCCTGGTTCCATGTAAGTCATTTGAAAGGCCTGGATATGAGTCAGTAAGGATGAGTGCATTCTGTTCGCTGTGTGCCTTGCAGGAGGCTATCTGGGAACACTGCACATAAACATGATTCTCTCTAATTTTGGTAGCATCTTAGTGAGATTTGTTCTGGTATGGAGAGCTACGGGTTTATGCCTCATTTGTGGTGCTGATAATTTAGCATGGCTTTTTTTTCTAGGCATCTTAAACAAATGTATCTTTGACAGGTACAAAGCTCCAATGATAAAAGTAATGGAAAACCTGAAGTTCATCATCGGCTGTCTGTTCACTCTGTTTTTTTTTTTTTTTTTTTTTTTTTTTTTTTTACCAAATTGGGCTTCAGCAATTAAAGACTGAGAACATCCCCTTTCAGCCCCTTGAAGGGCAGCATGGGAAGCTGAGAACCCTATACATCAGGTTCAGAGAGCCCTGGGTTCAACTTGGACTTCTGCACTTCCTGGATTGGTTGAATTTGAATAACATAATAACTCCTCTGAAATGTTATTTCTTCATCTGTAAAGATACATCCTTACCCACTTCTCAAAGGTTAAGTATTAACATGGCATATCAAATGTGGAAACAGCTAGCAAAAGACTTCACGTATATTACAGGCTTGATAAAATCTTCTCTTGTTGGATCAAAGCTGTGTGACCTTAGGCAAGTTACTTAACCTTTCTGAGTTTCAGATTCCTCTTCTATAAAACTGTGAAAATAATACCTACTTGATAGGGTAGCTTTGAGGATAATATGGAACAACATAGGTAAAACACCTGACATTGTAGGCACTTCCTTGCGACAGCTTTTATTGTTACGAAGCCTGTGGTTGTGAAAATGAAAGGGCACAAATATTGCTAGGGTAACCATGCCTTCTTGGTTGCTCCAGACAGAATCTGTTTATTCCTGGTTCTGGCAAAATCATTAGTAACATACTCTTTACTCTCAAAAGTTTCCAAATAAATTCTGTGGTCACTCTAAATATAACTAATATGTAGGAAGGAGGCTGACCTGTTGAGGAGAGAGAGAGAGAGCATAATAGTGATTCCTTTCCCATAAGTAATGTTTATCTAGTTCTTCCAACAGGGTAGTTTAGTTCTTACTAGTTAGCTATTATTAAGTTGTTGCTTATTATTGTTAAGCAGATAAGCATTGGCAATTCAGAAACATCTAAATGTACAGAAAACACATGGGCAGAGGTTTTGATGAAGTGGTTTATTCCCTTTTTCTGGGCATTTTCCACTTACTAGTATCCAATTTTCAAGAGCACACAGCTTTCATGCTGCCATCTGGCTGCCCTCAATCACTTTTTACTGTTAGCTCTAAGGGGTGGCCCATTAAGTGTCCTGGCTGCCTGGACACCCTCCTGCACCTACTGGTGATTTTAAAAAGGCTCAGTTTCTCTCAATAAAGTGCTTTGCTCCCACAAGCGTACCTCCTCTTATTTTTGCTGTACGAGTTTTCCTGCTATGCCAGACAACCTTTGGATAGGGATAGCAACGGAGGCTAACTTATTCCTCGTGACCTCATTGAACTCCGCTGGCTCACTCTGGGCCCACACCATAGGTAAAGAAATGCATGGATCTGTGCCTTGAGCTGGGAGTAAGGGCAGGGAGGAATATATTCCTGAGTCCTGCGTCTTCCTTTGGCACTGTCTGCAGTCTGCTCTTCCCACTGCTCTGTTTTCTCCCAGTACACCCCATCCAATGTCTTTCTTGTCTATGGAGGAGTAAATGAGAAACAAAATGGTGGTCTTTTGTGTCCCAGGGAACCACCAAACTTTGAGAAGGACCTGAAAGGCACATCCTAGGAGAGCTGGAGTCATCAAGAGGAGCAAATCTTTTGTTTTTTTCTCCACAAATCCCGACCCTCTCCCTTTCCTTTTCAGTTCACTTCAACTTCCTCTTCAGGAGAGAGGAGAGAAATCAGCTGTCCTGGGGCCTGCTTTTATTTCCAATGATTATTGTCTCATACCTGGTATGTAACCTTCGATCCAGTCCTTTGGAATGTAGGTCATCTTTCTTAGCAGTGAGTATGTGGAGCTGGTAAAGGAAGAAAATGGTATCCTATTATTTCAGTGTTTGCCCCAAGCAAAGATTCGCAGATCACTGTTACATAGGTAACTGACTTTTCCTTTCATTTCCTCCAGCAGAGGAGAGACTAGGCAGTCAATTTAAAAAAATATTATAAAATATATTTTAAAAATATAAAATAATGTATATGTACATTATAAATTGAAGGTTATGTTTTTCAGAAAAGGTGCAGACAATGAATATTTCAGACTTTGTAGGCCATATACACCTCTGTTGCATTGATTCTTCCTCCACTCCCTCCCTCGCCTCTTACCAAAGCTTCAAAAATGTAAAACAAACAAACGAACAAACAAAACAACAAACAACATTCTTAGCTCACAGGCCAAACATAAGCATTCTACTGTCACAGTTATATTTGTTTTATTATTAGGCAGGACATACGCCTTCTCATTACCCTTCTTTTTCAAGGTTTATTTTAAGCTTGGTATCATACATGTTTTTAAGATGAACTTTAATCTGCTATTTTATTTCCAAAACCCATCATCATTTGTATTTCATGGAATCTATACATTTATATAATCCTGTAATTTATACTTTCTGTCCTCCTTTTTCCCACATGATGGATCTGCCTTCTCTCTCTTGACAATTAAGTTTCTGTACCAGGAGTTGTTTCATACACCTAAAATTATAGGTCTCTTAGCCTGAGAGTTAAGATCACCCTGTTCAGAAGGTCTTATGGGAAATGCTCAATGCTGTTGCTCAACATCAATAAACTCTGATTTCTCTGTTTTACTGGACTCAGGGTTTGGACTAATGCAATCAGTTTCTCTCCAACGGCTATTTGTTTTCTTTTTTCTAGATGACTGGGTAGGGACCATTTCTGGCCTGGGTGACTTTGGCATCTAGACCCTGGCATACATCTGTCTGGTAAGAGCATATTGAGTCAATTTTTTGTTGTTATAATTCCAATATTAAACTCTGCCTAAGATAGGTTTGACTTTTTTTCTGGAAGCCAAGACAATTATTTAATTTTTATTAGATCCAAATTATTATCACTTCACCTCCTCTCACATCACTTTGTTTCTTTGACATTTGCTGTCTAAGAAGTTAGGGAAGAATGTGAAGATTTGAGATCCAAACCCTGCAATAAAATGACTGCATACTCAGGAAAACACTTTTCTCTAAGCACTGGAAAGGAGACATCCTACTTACCTCAGCCCATGCTTATGCTTGCCTTTCATGCATTTTCTATTACTAAGATAGCTAATGTCATGATGGACTGAAATTCAATTCTATATCAAAATAATACAATTAAGAAACAGATGTGAAGAAAATACCTATAGTCTATATTTACTTTTCAAATGTAGGATTTTTTTTTTGTATTAACATTTAAACATCTCTTTTGAATTCCTTCTCACCTAATATTGGCAATAATTCAAACACCCAAGCTACCTCAGCAACCACAGAATAGGCCAGTGCCTGATATTATAGCAACTACATATGAAATCCTTTCCAGTGTAAAGGCTTATTAACATTTAAAAAGAACTAGATCCATTCATACTTTGACTATAGCGTCAACGCCTGCTGAGCAGAACTCACTGTCTGTCATTCCCAACCTTTTCCCCTCTTTTGCATTTGCTGAAGTCCTTAAATATCAGGAGCACACTAAAAGTTCTCACATAAATGCACCAAATGAAATCCCATCTTTAACTCTAGCCCTCCCAACCCATTTCCTCTGTGTTCAAATAACGTTGAGGGACTAATTTTCAGTGAATTGTTGAAAGGAAAGGTGACAGTCCATTTAGCAGTCAGCTAGTTGCTAATTAGTACCCAACTAAAATGCATCAAAATTTGAGTACTCCCAATTGAACACTTTGAAAGATAAGCATTCTACTAATTTAACTCTGCTGTAGGTTGAGCCCTGATTGAGTGTTTTCACAGCAAGATGAGCCATGTTCCAGCACTTTCCAGTAGTGATTTTTAGCCCAGAGCTAAAAATGCTCATCTAAACATGTCATTTTTAAATCTTTGATTGCCTGCTCTATGGGGTACAACTTATGAGACTCTATGTAGTGGGTAATAACACTCTGACAGACGAATTAAAAAGAACTTTCTCATATCTTTTTGAGACTCCCCAGATTTTAAAAAAGAAATGCTGGGGAGGTAGAAGAAGAATAAACATGGAAAAGACATAGTTGTTTTAAGAAGCAGATTCTCAAAGTGGAGATTTGTCATCAAGAGAAGCTGAATTTAGTTTGGTCTTCCCAGAGATAGTTATGCTCCTTTTCATACATTGCTGCATTCAGGCTGGGGACTGTAGCTGCCATTGGAACTAGACACAACACTGTTTCTGCAGAATCATACAGAGCTTGACAAGACTTTGCAGTCTTTTTATTCTGAGGAGTTAAATTAGCACTTTTTTTCAGAACTCAATTTAAGCCAAAATAAATAAAGGAAAAAACAGAAAGGGGGTAACATTTTTAAGTACTTACTATTAAACAATTTTTCAAATGGATTATACATAATAAACAACCTTGAGACAGAGGTGATGGTTTGTCTGGAAGCCTGGATATAAATCATGTATTCTGTCCCCCAGTTCCCATGCTCTTTCTACCATTGAACAGAATATTGAACTCTCCAATTTTTAGTGAGAAGAAACCCAAGAGTACTAATGATGTCTTGGAAGAAAATAGCATTGTCCTATTTTTTTCTTAAATAAAAATAGGTCAAAATGAAGCTTCTATGATTACTGAATTGTAACTGTTCAAAACTTTTTGAGAAATGTATGGAAAGGTACAAACTGAACTAGGTTTAATGAGGCTAAAGTGACCATGTAAATCTCATTTGCCAGAAAGCTTGTATCTGATCTGGGAAAGGTGCATTACTTTCTTGCAGTTGTGGTTCTTTCATGCCATAGCTGCTGTGGCAACATGGTGGGTGAGGCTTAGAAGGCAAGGCTTTTTGGAGTATTAACAAAATCAATAGATGTTATAGAAGAGTTGGATTGAGTTTCTTAAGCACCTCAGGGTTGCTAGAATAGGTACCTGGGGAAGGAAGATGTAGACCATGTCAGAGGCAAAGTCTTTGGAGACTGAGAGAAGAAACAAACTTTGTACCTTGGTCAGTTGTCTACTTCTTATTTTAGCCTTTAAAAGGGAGAAGAAAGGGAAAATAGAATCTCAGAAACAGTTGAATTTAATTAATATGAGCACACAACTTTCCTTTCCTTGACCCCACTCTTCCTTCTCAGAAAAGATTTCTCTGGATCTGAGAACCAAGAGACCTGGATCCTACAGCTCTCTATAGACATTGAATAAATTCCTTTCCTTCTCTGTGGCTCTGAATTTCATTATTTAATAAATGGCCTCAACTATATTATCTCTTTTCAGTTATACACCTGCTGCGATTCTGTGATTCTTATTTTCTATTAGAAAGCCCTACTCTGCAGAGAACAATGCAGGCTCCTAGCACAGTATGTAGTACATAGCTAGTATTCAATGAAAAAAGTCAAATGAATGAATGAATGACTTTTGTTGGTTCTGATTTAGTCACCATTTGTGAGTTTCCCATTTGCAGGTCTACTATGGTACATTGCATGAGATTCAAGATAATTATCAGTTGGATGATTCCTGATTTCAAACTACTTGTGTATAGTTTCCATAAATGTCTGTAGGTGTGAATAACATAATGGACTTACTTGTCTACACTAACTTGACCATATAGGCCCTTAGTCTATCATGACCCTCAATTCTATCACTAGGTATATATCTAAAAATGCATGCCCACCTGCCTCAAAAGACAGGTATAAGAATGTTCATAGCTGATTATTTATAGTAGTTCTAACCCAAAGCCCATCATCAGTTGACTAAACAAATTGTGATATAGTCATGTAATATAATATGACAGCAATGAAATGAACAAATTACATTTATAAACAAAAACACGAACATCATAAACATAACTTTGTTCTGAATGAAAGAAGCCAGATACAAAGGAGTTCATGCTGCTTAATTCTATTTATATATAATTCAGAAACAAGCACAACTAAACCAAGCCTTTATAAATGCATGTTTACAAGGAATATATATGGTAAAAGGAGTGACATAAATGAGGCTAACCTTTAGGGGAGAGGTAGGTGATTCTAAGGCATGGATCTGCAGAGGCCCTCTGAGTGCCTAGCAACATTGTATTTTATGATTTGTGCAGAGTGACAGAGGAGCTTGCAGTTTCTATATCTTTCTGTAATGTGTGTGAGATCTCACAATTTCTTTTTTAACTTTTTGTTTTTAAGGAGTATATGTAAAATTCCAGGTTCCTAGTAGGCGCTGAATACATAGTGGTTACCTAATAAATATTCTACCTTTCTTCTTCCCCTGATTAGCTCTGCACAGCTAATCTTAAAAAGTAATGAATAATCTTGGTGTGAGTGCACAACCCAGACATCCATTCCCAGAAGAAAAGTTGCCCAGAGCATGAGCAGATTGCAAAGGCAAAAGGTGTTCATTCCTGCCTCATCTGATTGCTTCTTACACCAGCACCCGAGTTGTCATACTTGTGACTGTGTTTCAGAGCCAGTGAGCACTCCGACGCTTCATAATTACTGAAACACATGTGCTAAGTCACTTTTTGCTAAGCCACAATGAGAATTCTCAGTGTTCAATTGCCCTCAAAATTTCTCATCTCTTCCCTGGGGTGAGGTGCTTTGGTTTAGCAGCTGCACATGGGGATTGCATTTAAATCATTTAAAGTTTGGAGTTCAATATCTCCTAAAAGCAGCCTCTCTTCTTTTAGCATTCCTCTTCAGGTACGCCTAGATTTTTTTCTACTTCAAAGTGAGGAATATCTTTCTAAGGTGGAGGAAACCTTCAGAAATACATTAACTCTTTGAAGGCACAGGTGTATTTCATGATGCTGTCTGCTTGTGTCTTTCCAGACCGTTAGTCACTTCTTGGTAGTAGCTTTTTAAAGTCATTAGACATCCATTTCGCCTTTTAGCATCAAAAGCATTAACACGGTGAATCAGGTGTATAGGTAGCTAAAGGTCAAAAGAAGTAGTGGAGGAGAGTACACAAAAAGTTAAGGCCTATTTTACTTTTAGGTAACATAGTCTCTATGTTGCACTGCATCGCATCATTAATCATTGTGAATAACAAACAGGGCCAGCCACGGTGGCTCACGCCTGTTATCCCAGCACTTTGGGAGGCCGAGGCGGGTGGATCACGAGGTCAGGAGACTGAGACCATCCTGGCCAACATGGCAAAACCCTGTCTCTACTAAAAATACAAAAATTAGCAGGGTGTGGTGGCGCACGCCTATAATCCCAGCTACTCAGAAGGCTGAGACAGGGGAATCACCTGAACCTGGGAGGCGGAGGTTGCAGTGAGCCGAGATTGTGCCAGTGCACTCCAGCCTGGGTGACAGAGTGAGACTCTGTCTCAAAACAAAACAAAACAAAACAAAACAAAACAAACAAACAAACAAAAACAGAACCTCTCCCTGAATTCTCCCAACTGAATTGCTTATTTGGTTGGCTAAAGTTTTCATGAAACATTTAGAATTATGCCTTAGGATGTAAATTTCCTCAGAATTCCATCACATTGACAAACTTATGCTATGGTATATATGATGGATGTGAGAGCATTTTCTGAAAGCAAGTTTTTGAAGAGAAGTGAAAAAGAGCAGCCAGTGGTATTTTGGCTGGTGCAAAAAGGAAATATTTTGGATGCCCCAAACAAATTTCACCATTTAATGGCTAGGTCAAGCCCTAACTCTGTTATTGTTAATTTTAGAACTTCTCATTACCCCAGCTGTGTTGGATGTAAAAGAGGTCAATTTCAGTTAGCTCAAAATTAAAGCAGGAATTTGGGACAATGGAAGACGGCTTGGAATAACAGCGACAATCAGATAGAATCAGGCTCAACCTCGTATGCTTAAATAGCTTTATTTTCAGAAAATATTTGACAGAGGTGAAAGAACAAGCTCCATCTGTAGTTTTCAATGATAGATGTGAAGGACTTTTCAATGTAATACATTTGGATAAATATCCTGTCAAGCACCTACTGTGGGCCAGGTACAAACTGCTATTTTATAGGGACTTCTAGAATGGGTGGATGAGTCTGAGGCACTGCATCGCATCATTAATCATTGTGAATTGAGTACATGGGGGCTGTGAGATTGTGCAGTACTAGACACCACAGGCCTGTGGGGAGTTTGGATGGAGATTGTCAGAAAATATAGAGGAGGCTGGACTCTCCCCAAAGTGAATCTCCAGGCCTAGCTCCCAGTTAGACAGAGAGCTCATTCATCTCTGGTGAAGCTGTTGGGTGCGATTTGCCAGTCACTGAGATGCCCTCTCTTTTTTTTTCTTGCAGAGCCATCTGCAGCTGGTGAAAAATAACCCACCACATAAAACACCACAGCTAGTGAACATTTCCCACCTTTTATCCTCTGGCTTCATAGGGCTGTGACAGACGGTGCCCCAGCAGGGACTATGCAGCTCAACTGCCAAAGGGGAGCGCCAGCCATCGTGATGGTCCTGACTTCAAATCTGGGGTTCGGACTCTGTTTGTTCTAACACTCCTCGCTCAACCTAAGGAACTATGCACAGTTAGAACTTGGCAATAAAAGTTGTTGACTAAAGGACTGGAGAATCTTTTCTAATATTATGAATCTGAAAGGAGCATGAGGGTTTGTCCTTCTAAGTTAACCTTTGTATTTTAGGTAGAGGGAATCTAATATGCAGAAATTTAAGGCCATACTCCTTGTCAGTAAGGAGTTAAGAACAGGGTCCAGATCCCTGCTCAGTCAGTGCTATTTCCATTCTGGGTGCCTTTCTTTCCTTTGTATGTCATCTTTTTTATTGGTTATCTACTTAATATGAAGAAGCAAAAGGTTTCTACTTTCTTACACTATGCAGAAAGTTTCCAGAAAGTTTAGTTTTATGTAATACATATGTTAGCTAATATCATTGATCTTTGACTCATCATATCAAATATTTCCTAGGCTTCTTTAGATACACATGCTGATATATGCTGTTTATTTCTGACCAGACTACCTTACTCTGGAGTGAGTACCAGAGACCACATGGAGTGGTGAAAAAGGCTAGGGTTTTAGGGTCTAAGATACCTCAAATGGAATTCCAATTTCCCATCTGCCAGTTATATGATCTGTAACTGTCTTTCAAAGAGAAAAAGGTTTTAATTTTTATGAAGTTTCGTTTGTCACTATTTTAGTAGTCTTTTGTGTCTTGTCTAAGACATCTTTGTGTAACCCAGGTTGAGGTTTATTATTATTTTTTTTTTTCTTACAGATATCCAGTTGTTCCAGTGCAATTTATTGAATAGACTTTTTCTTCATTGAATTACCTCAGTGCCTTTGTTGAAAATAAATTGGCCATAAATGCGTGAGTTTGTTTGTGGATTGTCAACTTATACCAATGCCACACTGCTATGAGTACTACAGCTTTGTTTTAAGTAATGAAGGCAAATAAAGCTAATACTTCAAGCTTACTCTTGAGTTCATGATTGTTTTTGGCTATTCTAGGTTATTTTCTCTTTTCATGTAAAGTATAAAATAACTTGTCAATTTATTCAACAAAGCCTCTTAGGATCTTATTAGAATTACATTGAACCTATATATCCAATTTGTGGAGAATTGCCATCTTACTAATACTAGTTTTCTGAACCATGAGCATAGTATGTCTCTCCATTTTTTTAGGTCTTTAATTTTTATTTGCAATTTTTTGTAGTTTTCATCACTCAGTTCTTATAAATCTTTTGTTAAATTTACTTGTTTTTCCTGCTATTGCAATAGTTACTTTCTTTTTAGATGGAGTCTCACTCTGTTGCCCAGGTTGGAGTACAGTGGTGCAGTCTTGGCTTACTGCAACCTCCACCTCCTGGGTTCAAGTGATTCTACCATATCAGCCTCCCAAGTAGCTGGGACTACAGGCATTCACAACCACGCCCTGTTAATTTTTTTATTTTTAGTCAAAATGGGGGTTTCGCCATGTTGGCCAGGCTGGTCTCGAACTCCCGACCTCAAGTGATCCACTCGCCTTGGCCTCCCAAAGTGCTGGATTTACAGGTATAAGCTACCACACCCAGCCTAATAGTTACATTTTTAAAGATTATTTTTAAATTTCTTATTTCTAATATGTAAAACTTAAGTTGATTTTGCTGTTTGATCTTGTATGCTGATATATTACTTAAATCACTTATTTGTTCCAGTAGATATTTCTGTAGATTTTTAAAGGGTTTTCTATAAACACAGTTATGTCCTCTATAAACAATGTGATTCCATTTTTCCAATCGTTATTCTTATTACTTTTTCTGGCCTTACTGAGTTGGCTAGTGCTTCCAGTACAATATTAAAGTGAAGTGGGGGAGAACAGACATCCATGCTTTTTTCCTGATCTTGGCTAAAAGTTTTTGAACATGCCACAGCTGTGTATGATATTAGCTGCAGATTTTCATTGCTGTCTTTAAATAAGTTGGGAAACTTGCCTCCTATTCTTCATTTTCAGATACTTATTATAACTCATGTCAAATACTATTTCTGCATCTATTGAAAGGTTCATGAAAAATTTCAATCACAAATTCATGGGCATTCTTAAAATAACAGGCCAATGCTCCCTTCTCAAAAGTGTCACGGCGATGAAAGACCGAGGAACTGTACTGAACTGGAAGGAACTAAGAAGGCATGGCAACCAAATGCATGTGGGACCCTGGGTGGTGTCTCCAACCAGAGAAAGGACATTTTGGGGGTAAATGGGTGGAACTCCACTGGCATCTGCAGAGTAGTGAGTTAAAGTATGTCAGTGTCAGTGTACTGTGGTTACGTGCAATGTTAACATTAGGAGAAGCTGGGTGACGTCGTATGAGAACTCTCTGTACTAGTTTTACAATTAAAATTATTTCAAAATAAATTAAAAAGGAGAAAAAGATGACCAGGGTCAAACATCTCATAACCTCTAGTTGCATACCTCCACTGATGAGGAACTCACCACTGATCACAGTAAGCATCGGCTTGTACCTCCTGGGCCTGTTAAACCTCACCAAACCCAGATACTCTAATATGGGGCTTGAGTTAATTGCTCAGCAGCATCTTCTTCATAGCCTGTCCATAGGAACACCTGTGGCACTCCCAGTTCTGATAGAGGCTTGTTGATTGGGTGAACTCCCTGCCCTCGTCCAGCCCCATTCCCAAGCCTTTTCTTCTTTGGAGCCCCTTGAGAGAAGTATGGTGGTAAACATAATAATGACCTCCTAAAATGTCCATGCCTGATCCCTAGAGCCTGTAATAGGCACCTCCCACAGTAACAGGAATGTGCAATATGAATGATTAAGGATCCCGAGATGCAGAGATGAGCATTTAATTGCAAAGGTCCTTGTAAGATGGAGGCAGGGTTGAGAGTCAGAGAGAGACATTTGGAGGTGCTGTGCTGCCAGCTTTGAAGATGGGGGAAGGGGGCAGGAGCCAAGGAGTGCAGGTGGCCTCTAGGAGCTAGAAAAGGCAAGGAAATGAATTTGCCCCTGGAGTCGTCAGAAGCTATTAGACCTGGTGACATCTTCATTTGAGCCTAGTGAGACTCTGACCTCCAGAACCATAAAATAATAAATGTGTGTTGATTTAAGCCACTAAAAAAAGATAAAGTATTATATAGTTTTTCTCCTTTATGCTTTTTATACGGTGAATTACATTGATTTTCAGATGTTAAACCTACTTAGCCATTCCTGTGATAAGTCTCACTTGGTCATGATGCATTTTATCTGTTTTTATACTGTTGGATTTGATTTGTAAATTTTGTTCAAAATTTTTGCAGTCATGTTCATGATGGATGTTGGCTTATACTTTTATAATTCTTATAATATTTTCTGATTTAAGGATCTGGGTAACACTGTCCAGATAAAGGAATTTTGTAAGTGTTCTTCACTATTTTCTGACAGAATTTGTCTAGAATTGGTTTAAAAATATGTGATAGAATTCAACAGCAGAGCTACTTGATCCTGGAGTTTTCTTTGTGGGAAGATTTTAAAATTATACATTCATTCTTTAATTTATATAAGGTATTCAAGGATTTTGTGTTTTCTTTGGTTGAGTTAGGTACTTTATGACCTTAAGGAATTTATTTCATCTGGGATGTTAATATGTTACATAAAGTTGTTTATAGTATTCCATTATTGTGCTTTCATTGTATGTAGGATCTGTACTGATGTACCCTCTTTCTATGTTGATATTCTGACATGTGTTTCTCTTTTCTTTTTTCCTTTCTTTCTTTCTTTTTTTTTTTTTTTTTGAGACAGAGTCTTGCTCTGTCACCCAGGCTGGAGTGCAGTGGAGCAATCTCGGCTCACTGCAACCTCCATCTCCCAGGTTTAAGCAATTCTCCTGCCTCAGCCTCCCAAGTAGCTGAGATTACATGTGTATGCCACCACACCCAGGTGATTTTTGTATTTTTAGTAGAGACTGGGTTTTATCATGTTCGCTGGGCTGGTCTAAAACTCCTGACCTCAAGTGATCTGCCCACCTCAGCCTCCTAAAGTGCTGGGATTACAGGTGTGAGCTACTGTGCCTGGACCCTCTTTTCTTTATTAGCATAGACAAGTGATTTTTAATTTTACTTATATTTGAGATAACTAGCTTTGGTTTTAATGATAATAATCTATTGTTTTTCTTCTTTTGCATTTCATTGATTTCTTCCTTTATTATTTTCTTCTTCCCGTTTCATTTAGGTTCATTTTTCTCTTTGTCTAGTTTTTAAGATGGGAATTAAAATAATTATCTTCTAATATTTATTTCTAGCATAGACATTTACATGTATAAATATCTCTGTAAATGCTGCTTTAACTATATTTTGTAAATTTTGATATGTTATATTTTTATTGTCATTAAGTTTAAATGATGTTATAATTTCTCTTGAGTGTCTTCTTTAATGCACCTATCACTTGAATGTATGTTCTCTAATGGTCAAATATTTATATTTCTCCTAGTTATATTATTGCTATTGATTTCCAGTTTAGTCTCACTGAGGTTCAGAAACAAATTTTGTGTGATTTCTATATTGTTAAATGTATTGAGACTTCTTTTATGGCACATTATATGATACATTCTGGGAAAAGCACCTTAAGTACTCTAAAAAATGAGTATTTTGCTATTGGGTATAGTTCCTTTTTTCCATCCTTCCTTCCTCCTTTCCTCCCTCCCTTCTTTTATCTCTCTCTCTCTCTCTCTCTCTCTCTAATCTATCATCTATCATCAGTTGTCTATTAATTTAATGTTGTAGATAATGTTCAGATCATTTATATTATTGCTATATTTTTGTCTAGTTGTTTTATCAAGTGAGAGGAGGGTCTTTAAATAGCTAACAATGATTGTGAGGTTGTCTATTTCTACCTTAAATATGGTAATATTTTTGTTTTGTGTATTTTAAAACTAATTAGTACATACATATTTATGATTATCCTGTCTTTTATGATAAATTGACCCTTTTATTATTATGAGTTATACATTTACTCTCAGAATACTTTTTAAATAATAGATGTATTGATATATAATTCACATATGATAAATTTTTCTCTTTTGAGGTGCAGAGCTCAGTTTTGGTATATTCACAGAGTTTTACATCCATCAATAGTATCTAATTTCAAAACATTTTGTCATTCTCAAAATAAATTCTGTACCTATTAGCAGTAATTCTCCATTATTTACTTTCTCAAGCACTTGGAAACCATTCATTCACTCTCTGTCTCTTCAGATTTGCCTTTTGTGGACACTTCATATAAATGTAATCATATATTATATGGCCTTCTGTGTCAGACTTTCTTTCCTCTAAGAATAATTTTTGTCTTTGAATATATATTTTATCTGGTAAAAACAGTCACTCCACTCTATGCTTACTGTTTGTATGTCCTTTCCTCTTTATTTACTTTCAGTCTGCTCATTATATTAAAAATGCATTTCTTACAGGTATCATATAATTGTTTTTATCTTTTAAATTTTATTAGGACAATTTTTGCCTTTGAATTGGTGTGTGCTTAGTTCATTGTACTTTAATGTAACTATCAGTATGTTTGAATTTTATTTTCACCGTTTGTTACTATTTCTCTTTGTCTTTGTTTTTGGTCCTCACTTCCTCCTTTCTTGACAGACTTTAAAAAATTTGAATTTGTTTTACAATTCTTAAAAATTGTCTATAAAATTTTAGCTATATTTTTCTGCAATATTAAAAATGTCTTTGCAGTTGCATTTTTTAAACTTTTTATATTTTTCTTACAATTAATATTGTATTACTTTCTGTAAAATATTTTAAAATTTCAATGCTATAGTTGTATATTCTCTTTCCCCAAATTTTAGTACTTTTGTGTGATAAGCAGAACTATAGGCTCCCAAAGATCCCCATGTCCTAATTTCTGGGAGCTTGAAAATATGTTACCTTCTATGGGAAAACATATTTCACCGATATATTTGAGATGGGGAGATTATCCTTGATTATATGGTGGACCAAATCTAATCATAATGTCTTTAAAGGAGGAGAGTTTTTGTTAGCTAGGTTACAGAGATGAAATGGAAGAAAGAAAAAAAGATTGAAAAAGGGATTTGACCTGCTATTTGTTTGAAGCTAAAGAAAGAGGTTCATGAGACAAGGAATAAGAGTATCCCATAGAAATTAGGAATTCCCTTAGTTGACAGCCAGAAGGAAATAGAGATCTTAGTCCTACACATACAAGAGACTACTGCCAATAACCCAATGAGCAAGGAAGCAGAATCTTCCCTAGAGCCTTAAGAGAAAAACACATACCACCTCCTTGATTTTAGCCTGGTGAGATTCTAATCAGATATTCTGACCTAGAGAACTATAATATAATAAATTTGTGCTATTTAATCCATTAAGCTTTGGTGATTTATTATGGCAGCTATAGAAAATTAATGTATATCATAATATTAATTTCATCTAAATACATTTATAAAGCCCATAAGATAATACAATTTTAGTTCTAAGCAGTTGTATAGTTTAAGAGGAATAAATCAAAAAGAAAAAAAGTCTTCGACATTTACCAAGATACATAACATTTTTGATATTCTTTCTTCTGCACTGAGAGTCTAAGTTTTCACGTTACATCGTATGCCTTTAATCTGAAGAACTTCCTTTAACATTTATTTTAATGGAGTAATGTTGACAGCACATGTTCTTATCATGTGCTATTTTATCCAAAATATCTTTATTTTCTGTGAGTCTTCACAAATATTTTTACTAGTTAGAAAATTCTGGTTGGCAAGATTTTGTTTGTTTGTTTCAGCTCTTTAAAGATGTGTTACAATTTCTTAATGGCCTCCATGGTTTTCATGAGAAGTCCTTAAGGTAACTTCTATTGATGTACATTTAAGTTCATGTACTATTTCCTTTGTAATATTTATTTAAGTCCATCCAATGATTTTCAAATTTCAATATTGTATCTTTTCAGTTCTCACCTTTCCGTTTGGTTCTTCTTTATATGTTCTATTTCTTTGCTGGATTTTTATATATTTAAAAACGTATTGTACACTTATTTTACTTTGTATTATTTAGAAAAGTTCTAACAGTTAATTAGATTAACTGCTATAGCACTGAAATGTGATGTGATAGTATTGTTAGCATTAAAATGTAATCATTAGCTCATTATTTGGTAGTTCTAGCATTATGTTCATTTAGGGATTGAGGAAGGTTGATTTTCTTTTGTCTTGCGAATATTTTCCATTTTCTTGGTTCTTTAGACATCAGGTAATTTTGGATTATATCCTAGACATTGTGAATGTAAAGTTGTGAATATTCAGGATTCTATTATTTTTTCCAACTAGTATTGTTGTTTCTCTTCTTCCTCTTCCTTCTCCTCTTTCTGAGCAGGCATTTTAAAAAATCTGGACACAAAGGGAAAACCCAGACTTTTGGGTGGTAGCTCTGATTTCAGCTCGGAATTACATGAATTGAAATTCTGCTTTAGCTGAAATTCTGCTTTGGTTTGTTCTAGATATTTACGGCCCAGTCCTCAATCAGAGATGTGGGTAGACACAAACGGGGAATCCCCCTTCTCTCTTTTCTTTCTGAGATTTCATTGCTGTCTTCAACAACCATGTTTCACTTTGCTTCAGTTGTCTGGTTACCTAGGCAACAGAGACTATATTTTTTCAATCAGCATCTCACTGTACCAACTGTACTTTCCTAAGCTAAAAGCCATAAAGATGGGAACTTATTTGTAAATCACCCCACTTTCTTCCTCTTGAGTATGTACTCATGCTAGAATCTGTCTGCTTTTTTTAACTTCCAGTACCTTTATGAAATTGCTTTTTGTATTGTTTCCAGATCTTATATAGTTATTTTCTGCAGGAGAAAAATCTGATAAGTTCTTAGACTATCATTTCTGCAAGCTGACTGGTCAGAGGTTTTTGACTGACTCATTTGTAGTTCGTATTAGATATTTTCAATATCAGCAAAGATTAATATGATAATTTAGAGCTCACTCATTCATTAAATATTTTTATGCACCTGTTATGCTCCAGCTCTGCTGCTTGAATTTCTGTGTACAGTTGTGAACAATTTGACCCTGGTTTCTTCTCTGATGAAAATCAGAAGCTAGTGGAGAAGACAGACATTAAAAGCAATTAAAGTATGATGAATATTATCATAAGACAAAGTAAATAATAGGATGCTGTAAACTAATTCTACAGAAGATTATAAAGTCCTTTAAGATTTAAGCTGAAATCCAAAGAAATCATAGCTTGGCATCAGATAAATGGAACTCAATTTACATATTTGGAAAGTAAATTTGGGAATTGCTAGGAGAATTAGTTCAAGTAAATGATAAGGTAGAGGGCAAGAGTAGAAAAAGGAAAATAGGACGTAAGACAAAAATCCAGGAGAAGACAATGTCCTGGAAGGGAATGATAATGGTGGGAATGGGGAGAGAATTGAGATTTATATGAAATATTTAGAAGGTAGAATTAGGTAAGATCTCGTGTTTAGTTCAATAAAGTCAGATAGAGAAGCATTAGGAAAGCCTAGATTTTTGGTCTGAGGCCCTGAAAGGAGGGTGGTACCTTTTATTGAGATGGGGCACTTTAGAGGGGGAATAAATTAAGAAATAAGATTACTAATTCAATTTCAGGCTTTTAAATTTTAGGTACTTGTGTTATATCTGAATTGAAATATTCAACATGCAATTAGGTATGCATAAGAGAGTTCTGAGCTAAAAACATCACCCTTGTGAATTTATAATGAGGAGTAAATTTCCACTCTACAGAAGAAAAATATTAAAGGAACACTTTCAGCTCTTCCTCCTCACTGACTCCTCTTTTGAGGGAATTTATTGACTTATCTTACTGATAAATCTGGTAGAAGGAGCTTAGCATGCTTGGCTTTGTGCTTTTTGGGTCTGCTCTTGGCAGAGCTCACATGTCTTCAGGACACAGGAGTAGATTTCCGTTTGGTCTAGATGCCAGTGGCTAGAGCTTATTTTACTCTACCTATAAGTAGAGGAATAATCATGCCCAATATTGGAGACATTCAAGGAACCCAACGCAGCTGCAGAACTAAAGTTATGGTCTTTGAACAGTTTTGTCAATAAATCAGGCATTTTGTTAAGGATTTACCCTTTTCTTCTCTCTTATTTCTTAGCTGGTTCTAAACTCTACAGTGGAAGATACAGTGACATTTACTGTCTCTCTCTAATCCAAAAAATTAATATCAATATTATGTGTATGCATGTATGTATATTATATATTGATGTAAATAATAAAAATATATATGTTCAAGCCCTCATTCAAAGAGTGGTGCATAATAGAGCCTAGAGTTAGGCATAAAGCCTATATATATATATATATATATATATATATATATATGTGTGTGTGTGTGTATGTGTGTGTATATATATTCACACACGTATACATATATATATATATATTTGAGACAGGGTGTTGCTCTGTTGTTCAGGCCAGAGTGCAATGGTACAATCACAGCTCACTGCAACCTGGACCTCCCGGGTTCAAGTGTTCCTCCCTCCTTAGCCTCCTGAGTAGCTAGAACTATTGGTTTATGCCACCATGCCTGCCTAATTAAATTTTTTTTTGTAGGGACTAGATCTCACTATATTGCCCAGGATGGTCTTGAACTCCTGGGCTCAAGCAATCCTCCCACCTCATATATAGATTTTTTTAATTTTAACGAATATACTTATTATCTGTATGATTTGAAAGATAAGACATTAGCACTTTCAAACTTTGGTCCACCTCCTCTTTCCTTTTTATTTTATTTTATTTTTTAATCAATACATACTATTTGCATATACTTATAGGTAAATTAACTAAAACTGGGGTTGGGGGATATTTTCCCATGTTCGCACTGATAGTGAATTACTACCAGTAGACTTGAATTAGTTGATTGTTGCTTTTTTAAAGCTTTTTTTTTGTTTGTTTTCTGTACTTCACACCATAGTGACTCTAAAAAATGTGAACAGTGAAACTTTGCTCTTTGCAAATGTGTTTTGGGCAAAGTGATTGGCTATCCCCTAGCAGAGAAGTTAGTTTGAATGTTCTGTCACTGAATGAGCTGACTAGAGAAATTGAAGAAAATACTTTCAGCTGTTTGTGGAATCACAGAAAACTTTAAGGGTGTGGCTGTGAAGCATACGTGATAGACTGTCTCTGTGTAATGTTTGCCGGGCCCATCTAACAGTTCCTCTTACCTCTACCTTAGGCCACTGTCCACATTTGAATGTCTCAGGAGGGTAATCTGAATTTGAAGAGAAGGCTATGGAGATGGTGGATCTGTTTTCCGAGTACCACAGGATATTGATAGCGGAAGAAAATTGCCTCTAGGATTAAGTGTAAGAGAGTATGTTATGACATTTATACAATTTACTAGACTATCTTTATTGAATGGAAAGTGTGTTAAAGTGGAAAAAAAATATACAATTGATAATCAAATAGTTCAGCCATTACATACGTGACGGTGGTCAAGATATTCGAATGTTCCGAGCTTTAGTTTTCTCCTCCATAAAATGGGGCAATGCTTTCCATACTGCTACATAAAAGTTGTTGATAGCTAAACATCACTTATCATTAGAGAAATGCAAATCAAAACCACACAATGAGATACCATGTCACACCAGTCAGAATGGCTATTATTAAAAAGTCAAAAAGTAACAGATGCTGGTGAGGTTGTGGAGAAAAAAGGAACATTTTTACACTGTTGGTGGAAGTGTAAATTAGTCCAACCATTGTGGAAGACAGTGTGGCGATTCCTCAAAGACCTAGAGACAGAAATACCATTTGACCCAGCAATTCCATTACTGGGTATATACTGAAAGGAATATAAATTGTTCTTTTCTAAAGACATGTGCACACATATGTTCACTGCACCACTATTTACAACAGCAAAGACATAGAATAAACCTAAATGCCCATCAGTGATAGACTGGATAAAGATAATGTGGTACATATACACCATGGAATACTAAGCAGCCATAAAAAAGAATGAGATCATGTACTTTGCAGGGACATGGACGGAACTGGAGGCCATCACCCTCAGTAAACTAACACAGGAACAGAAAACCAAGTATCACATGTTCTCACTTACAAGTGAGAGCAAAATGATAAGAACACATGGACACATGGTGTGGGGGAAACACGTGCTGGGGTCATTGGAGGGTGAGGGGTGGAAGAAGGGAAAGAATCAGGAAGAAAATAGCTAGTGGATACTGGGCTTAATACCTGAGTAATGGGATGATCTGTGCAGCAAACCACCAGTGCACACATTTACCTATGTAACAAACCTGCCCGTCATGTACATGTACCCCCAAACTGAAAATAAGTGTTGGAAATGAAAAAAAACCGTTTTGATATAGTTTACATATTGGTATGCAGGTGTCAAAGTTTCTATTCTGTTGTGGATATTCAAGCTCAGTTTTTATACTTGCCTGTTTGATAATTATACCTGCTCAATTTCTCATTGAGTATCCCTTTAGGGTAAATTCACCATGATATGCACTCAGGAGAGAATTAGAAACCCAAAGGACAGAGTGTTTGGTTACATGAAATAGTGATTTGTGGAAGCCATCAAGAATTGACATTGTAGGAAAGCTGCATGTTGCTGGGATTTAGAGCAGGGTGTCTAAATCCAGTTTTGATGCTGCCTTTATGATTTACTGTTTCTGTGACCTTGCACACATTATTTATTCTCTCTGTGCTGTAGATTCCTTATCTGTAAAATAAGGAAAATACTATTACCTCCCTTGTTAACTTGTAAGGATTGAAAGAATTCATATGTGTAAAGCAGTTATATTAGTGCCTGGTACCTTTTAATACTATGTAATTGTTAGAGATGATGATAATGATGATGATGATATTTCTATTAGCTGGTTATAGATTTTTTCTTTTGTATCTATTTCAAATGTTAAGCTAGTTTTCTTTTCAATAAACTAGACCATATGAGAAGGAAATAAATAAGAAACTTGAGTGACTTCTTATAGAATCCTTAAGTGTGTTGGCAGGTGGGATTTGAGAATGAATAAAGGAAATGAAGTGCACTGGTAACATGGACAAGTCTGTCCTGACTGGTGGGAAAGAATAGCCACAAACGACACGATCAGAAATAAAATTGATAGCAGAACTTGGATATTTGAGACAGCTTTAATATTAGTCAAGAAATTCTACAGGGAAGAGAGAGAAAGGGTCTTTGTTTGCTGTAGCTCTCACTACCCCAAAGAGAAGAGCTGGGTAATAAGGTAAAAAGGCTTAAAGGCTTCCCTCCATTCCTAAGGAGTTCAGTTTCTTACTCAGCCTTAAAGTCTTGGGTCCAGTGCAATACTTGGCCTTGAGACCTAAGAGAAAACCAGTCAGCTGTGCCTGTGGATATGGGCAGCCCAGAGCCAGAGGTGACTCCTGCACAGCTATAAGGACCCTCATGGATTAGGTGCTTGCAAGAGCTTTACAGAGCCACAAATCCTCTCCATGACTTGGAGGCATGTCAGAAACCTACATAGGAATTAATGAACCAAGACAAACTTCACAGTGGCAGGCTAAGTTAGAGGCCAGGGCAGAGAAGCAAGTAGCAGAATTCTGGGAGAGAATAAAAATATTATGGTAATTATTGGTGAATGTAAATTGAAGTACAGAATGTTAGACATTGCCTAACCTAATTCAAGCACAATCCATGGTAGCTCAAATTGTGAAAGCTTTCATTGATTCAGGTCTTAGTCTAAATATAAGGTATTACATCACCATAAATTAGCTTCAAATCTTGTTTTCTTTTGAAAGCAAATGTGAAAAATCTATATATGGGTATTCATATCATTTGGTAGAGGTTTTCTTTTCCATTTTTGTTGTAGTTGTTGTTGGATGTAAACTAAGCTAAATTAAACAGCTGGAGAAAAATATTTTTTAAAAATCTACAAGTTAGGTTTTTATGGAGAAAGAACTTGGCTGCTTAATAAGTCCATCTCAGGTTAGCTCATTTCCATTTGGAGAGCATTACTCAAGATAGCTTTAGGATAAGTGTAGAATAGAAGGAATAAGAAAAGCCATACTCATTGGGGGAGAATAATACTTTCTTCAGTCTATTACTTTATCTTTGTTACTCTGGAGTTTCATGAGAACACCAAGGATGAAGTTATAAAAAAATTCTGTCAGTGCTGTGGGCAGCATGGGTGGGGCCACTTACTTTGCAGTCCTACATGTAGGTCATTTGGTATATCTGGTGCTTCAGGTGGGTCCTGCCATCTGTGTGACGTGGAGTAAAGAGAGGTATATTCAAAGGTGGCGGTGTTAGTAGACAGGGCCTATAGCTATCCCTTGACCTCACTCAACCTTCCCTTGGAGACGACTGCCAGGCTGTATTGGGCAGAAAAGTTCACACCCTCATTCAAAGAGTGGTACATAATTGAGCCTAGAGTGAGCAAGAGCACATGAACACAAATCACTTTATAACAGGAGTCCCACTGTTCACATAAATAGAGATTTAGTAACTATAAAATGTAGTGTCACACGCCACAGAAGACATCTTTATATTTGTTGTGTTATGGGCCATATTATTTTAATAATTGGATCTCCCACGTTCCATATCTATAAAATGCATATGATGCTAATAATGACTGACAAAGTGTCTTTGAGGATTATATGACATAATACATGTTGAAGAGTGAGGCTTGTGCATGACAATTATAAATTTAAGTAATATTACATTTTGTTCATATTGTTGTTGCTGTTTTCATCACAGTTTTATTTATAAGAGTAAAAACAGGTGAAACAAGCATTTTCAGACATTTTAATAGCATGAGTATATCCTCACAATATTCTAAAGTGAAAAAGGCAGCTATGTATTTGATCATAATGTATTCTGAACTCATGAAAGAAAATATACCAAAATGGTAACAATGGTACTTGTGGTATACGGTACAGGTTGAGCATCTCTAATCTGAAAATGTGAAATCCGAAATGCACCAAATTTGAAACTTCTGAATGCCTACGTGATGCTCAATGGCCATGCTCAAATAAAATTCTCACTGGAGCATTTTGGATTTCAGATTTTCTGATTAGGGATGCAAAACCAGTAAGTATAATGCAACTATTCCAGTTCCCCTCCCCCCACCAAAAAAAATTTGAATCTGAAACACTTCTGGTCCCAAGCATTGTAGATAATATATACTCAACCTATAAAGTCACCCCTACATTGTTTGACTTTCCATTTGCACTGAATATCTTTTGTCGTCTATTATTTGCTATCCATGTGTATCCTTACATTTGAAGTGAGTCTCTTTCAGGAACCATACAAGTGGGTCTAATATTCAGTATTCTTGATTAGCAGTTATTTTTCTTAATCATTTTGAATATATCATCCCACTATCTACTGTCCTGTAATGTTTCTACTGAGAAATTTGATGCTAACTTTATTGAAACTCCCTTATGTGTTATTTGCTTCTTTTCTCCTGCTGTTTTCAAGATATTTTCTTTGTCTTTGATTTTTGACAGATTCATTGTAATATCTCTTGATGTAATCTTGTTTGGATTGAATCTGATTGGGGATGTTTGGCCTTTCTGTACTCTGTATCTGAATATTTATATTTTTTCCTATATGTGGAAAGTTTTCTGCTATTATCTTTTAAAATAAGCTTTCTATCCCTTTGTCTCTCTATTTTTTCCACAAACTCCTATAAATTAAATATTTTCTCTTCTGATGCCCTGCTATTAATACCGCAAGCATTATTCATTCCTCTTTATCCTTTTTTATTTTTCTCCTGACTGGATATTTTCAAATAACCTATCTTCAAGTTCACAGATATTCCTGCTTGATCAATTCTCTTGGTGACATTCCTATTGCATTTTTTATTTGTTTCATTGTTTTTCAGCTCCAAATTTTGTTTGATTTTTTAAAATAATTTAAATCTCTTTGTTAAATTTCTTATCTTGATCATTTATTGTTTTACTGATTTTATTTTATTATTTTTCTATATTTTATTTAAATTTTCTAAGCTTCCCTGAAAAAAATTATCTTTAAATCTTTGTCAGGCACTTTGCATATCTCCACTTCTTCGGGGTAAGCTATTGGCATATTGTGTTCCTTCGGTGGTGCTGTGTCTCCTTGGTTTTTCATGTTTCTTATTGCCTTATATTGATCTGTGTACGTTTGAAGAAATAGGGATGAATTCCAGCCTTTGTAGACTGGCTTTGTTTAGGAAAGTCCTTCACCAGTCACCCCATCCAGAGATTCAAGGCAGCCTGTCTGGCATGGCCCACAGATGGGCCAGCTGCTGGAGACCTCAGCAAGGTTGTCTTGGTGCCTGGGTCAGAATGTGAGTGGGCCAGGTGCCTGGGTCTATGTTGTAGGTCTAGAGCCTGTATCAATGGAGGTTGGTCTGAAGCCTGAGTCCAAAGGAGCTGACAGTTGCTGGGATGGGTCAGGCACCTGTGGCC